GGCGCGGTGGCTCACGCCTGTAATCCTAGCACTTTGGGAGGCCGAGGCGGGCGGATGCTAAGTCAGAGTTCGAACCACGCACGGAACCTCCTCTAACCAAAAAAGAATAAATTAATTGACCAACTAAAATATAATACAAAAAATTAGCCGGCATGGTGGCGCATGCCTGTAGTCCCAGCTACTCGGGAGGCTGAGGCAGTAGATCGCTGAGCCCGGAGATTGAGGTTGCTGTGAGCCAGGCTGACGCCACGCACTCATCTAGCCTGGCAACAAAGTGAGACTCTGTCTCAAAAAAAAAAAAAAAAAAAAAAGGAATTGAAAGACATAGTGAAAAAACAGAAATGAAAAAGTCATGAAATTAAAAATTAAGTGGATGAGAATAACATATGGTTAGACACCACTGAGAGATAAAATAATGAACAAGAAAATACAGCTAAATAAATTGCCCAAAATTCAACAAAGAGAGAAAAAAGATGAAAAATGAAAGTGGGGTTAAGCAATAATGAACAGAAAAAAATGTCTAATATATATTAATAGAGTAGCTGGAAAACAGACTGAAAAATGGGAGGGAATATATTAAGATTTCCCAGAATTCATGAAGACAACAAAACACAAATCTACACACACATTAAATCTGTGTGCTAAAACTAAATCTACACTTAGATCACAGTAATGAAATTTGACAACACCAAAGAAAAGGTAAAAAAATAAAACCAATTATACAGAAATATTACCTAAAAAGAAATATAATTAAACTAACAGTAGTCTTTCAACACAGTAGGAGAAAGCAGTGAAATAGTTTTTCACAATAAACTATTATTTAAAGAAGAAAATAAAACGATGGTTTTATTGTTAACAATTCTTTACTGAAAAAACTATTTTTAGAAAACCACACAAAACAAGAAAATTAAATTTCAGGAAAAAAGGAAACTGAATCCAGAAGTAAGAAATTAAAATACAAGCAGCAACGGTGAGAACTGCTAAAAAATATCGGTAAATCTAAACAGGAAATGATTATACAAAATAGTAATCAGAATACACAGCCACCATGACAACTACTTTTTTGAGATGTAGCAATAATGAAATAAAATGCCAGAGGATAACATACATGTAAAGGCAGGAGAATTAAATTATCTAAGGTCCCTGTATTTGGGCAGATGCTGATTAACTTTAGATTTTGTTAAGTCAGGAATATAATAATATGTATGTGAAACCTCAAGAGTAAATCATATCATAATAGAAGTAAAGATAGAAAAGGAAACAAAGAAGAGAAAGTAAACAGGACTAGTAAAAGTGATGGAAAAAGAAAGAAAAAGCAAGTAAATATATATGTACAAAATAGAAAAAAATCCAAACGTATCAATATCAAGAGTTGACAAAGCTCACCAATTAAAAATAGATTCTAAATCTAGATATAAGAAACCAGACCACAACAAAGTCCAGCTATATGCTATTTATGAACATATATAAGACATAAGTACATAGAAAGTTGAAAGTAAACAGAAAAAAAAGATATACCAAGCAACACTAATCATAAGAAAGTTGGCATATCCACTGTAAGAGTACACAAAATAAGACTCCTAGGCAAAAAGCATTCTATATTAGGAATAAAGAAAAATTTTTAAAAAAAGATAAAACATAAAATTCACCAGAAAAGGTTTTTAAAAAACGAGGAAGATTTTTTTCCTTTTGATGTTATAAAATACATATAACAAAAATTTATCATTTTAACCATTTTTAAGTTTACAATTCAGTGGCATTAAGCACACTGACAAGGTTGAGCAACCATCACTACCATCCATCCACAGAAATCTTTTCATCTGAAAAAGTTTTACTGAAACTTTCTACCCATTGACAACAACTCCCCATTCATTAGGAAGTTCAGAACAACATTTAAGAAGCCTGATCTGATGAACACATGAAGAACCCTGTACTCAACAACTAGAAACACACATTCTTTTCAAGATCAAAATCACTAAAAATATTAGGGGCCTCAGATCTCCCTACACGTAACTCTAAAAGACTGTGGAGCTATACTTAAAAAAACCTCAAGGAAAGAATGCATGACCTGACAGTCAAGCTGTCACTGAAATATTTAAACTGTAGAACATTTAAGAACTCATCAGAGAATATTGTTTTTATGAGCTTTTTTTTGAGGACTCAACTAGAGAACAAATTACAGACAACCCAAAGAGAAGTGAGACAAAGGGCAGTGAACTGAGTGGTAATGAGCACTGGCCTAATAATTACAGGTCTATCTGAAAATGAAACAAAAGTGGGAAATAGTGTAGCCGGGCATGGTGGCGCATGCCTGTAGTCCCAGCTACTCGGGAGGCTGAGGCAGGAGGATCGCTTGAGCCCAGGAGTTTGAGGTTGCTGTGAGCTAGGCTGACGCCATGGCACTCACTCTAGCCTGGACAACAAAGTGAGACTCTGTCTCAAAAAAAAAAAAAAAAAAAGTGGGAAATAGGGTAATAGAACAGAATCTAAATGTTACACACCCTAACAAGGTAGAAATGATACAACAAAGCCTGCAGGAAGGAGAAGAAGAAAAGAAGGCGGAATGTAGAATAAGTAAGCTGGTTTCCTCATTTTTTTAATTGCTAGAGGTGGATGGGGAGAACATCAAAGAATATCATTTAAAGCTAACAAATCAAGTCATGGTATAGGCATATTCAAAGTATAAAGGCAAACACTAAGAAAGACAATACTATCAACTAAAATCAGGTGCTAGAAGGAGAGGGAAGGGAGGGAGAAAGAAAAAGAAATATACAAATTTTCATTCTAGCGGGGGTGACAGAGTGAGACTCTGTCTCAAAACACAAAACAAAAGCAACAATAACAACCCCTACCCCCAAAAATCTCCAACTAATTTCATCACTTTGGGAATTCACAGTGGGAATTAATAGAACAGATACTATCGAAAGAAACAGATGATTAATGATAGACTTAAAATGGCTAGAACAAAACCACATGTCAGAACACACACAAGTACGAAGAAGGAGAAGAAGATGGAGAAGATTTCTTACAGGCTTTAAAATCAAAAGCCAAACATAAAATGATATCACTAAAACCAAATATGTCTACATATCAATAAATATAAACAGGCTACACTTATCTACTAAAATAAGTCTTTCAGATGATATCACATTGGAAAACCTAATGCAAGATCTATTCAAGAGACAAAATATTTTTTTTAAAGTATAAGATGGGCAAAAAAATGTACAACAGGAATATGTAAATAAAAGAAGCAAATATTTTGATCTCAGTATCAGTCAGGGTTGGTTCTAGCTGCACCCTGCCCACCATAGTTCCCCCAAAGCCAAAAAGTCTCTGTTAGAAAGTGAAGCAAAGATGTGGAGAACAAATTTAAGGTAGCTACTAAATAATTATCTGTTCATTAATTCCCAGGAAACTTCTAGAGGATACAGAAGGAACTATTAATAGTCATTACTTCTAGGGAATGTGCTGGGGATGCAGAAAGAGGAAGAATTTCTCCTCTTTCCCTTAAACAATTCTGTACAGTTTTAATTCTTGCTAAGAACATGGTTTTCTATTATAAGAAAAAGTGATCAATAAATAAGAAATATTTCAGTGAAACTAATAATTATCAGACTGTATATTCTAAAATATAAGTATTTTAATTTTTATATAATTAGCAATTATATAACTGTTCCATTTAATTACATATAATTTATAGAACCACTAAGAAAATAAATATGAAACTTTTCAAGATGCTATTCAAATTCTAGATGATTGTAAAAGATTTAGATAAATCTAAATTATACATCTTGAGTTGTGATGCTCTAATTTTCAAACAGCTGTTAATATTCAAATTTAGAAAAACATGCCTGTACAATACAAAGGAAATATACTAACACGTTACGATAAAATTTCCTAAACATTTAAAGGTTATCAATTAAAGTAAGAAATGAAAAGCATTTTTTTTTGAAACAGAGTCTCACTTTGTTGCCTGGGCTAGATTGCCGTGATGTCAACCTAGCTCACAGCAACCTCAAACTCCTGGACTCAAGCGATCCTTCTGCCTCAGCCTCCCAAGTAGCTGGGACTACAGGCATGCGCCACCACACATGGTTAATTTTTTCTATACATATTTTTAGTTTGCCAATGAATTTCTTTCTATTTATAGTAGAGATGGGGTCTCACTCTTGCTCAGGTTGGTTTTGAACTTCTGACCTTGAGCGATCCACCCGCCTTGGCCTCCCAGAGGGCTAGGATTACAGGCATGAGCCACTGCACCCGGCCTAAAGTATTTTTAAATACTCCTGCTCTTTAAAAATAAGATAATGCATTTTGGTAGTTTCTTTTTTTTTTTAATTTTTAAATTTTTTTTCACACATCACACCTGGGAACATTTTGGTAGTTTCAAGTGTTAAATACAGTTAAACAAATTAAAAAATTAGTAGTATTGAAAATAGAGAACTGCTAATGTCAAATGGTAGAGGCTACCTAATCTGGATTTGTGGAAGGCACTTACCTTCCAACAGTTTATCTTTAAAACAGTGGTTAGAATTAGCTTCCAAGTAATAGTATTTCATCACTTCTCATAAGCTATCGTAGTTTTCCCCACACTATGCCTCTCAGCAAAGCAAGTTCATTAATCTAAAGTTAACTTGTCACCACTCGTGGGCAGACTTTGAGCTTTTACCTGGCCACAGAAGAATGTGACTTCATATTTATAGCTCTAACATGCATATGATTGATTTAAAATAAAAATCTTATCTGGTTATACTTGAGATTTCAGCTTAAACTGCTTTTTCTCCTTCTCTCTCCTCTCCAATAATTTACAACAAAATAAGTAACACAAATTAAACAAAAACACTTATAGGTCACATTATTACTCTCTTTTGCAGAATTAAATCAATAATAATGATAATAATTTGTTTTCTATAATAACCCAAATAAAATATTCAGGATTCTAACTAGTACATCTGAACAAGATAGAATACTAAAAGTATCATAAAATCAAATGCACTTACTTGACATTTCTGACGCAACTGTCGTAGTTCTTTTAAAACTGGAGCTAGAGCTGACTTCTTCTCAGATACCAGTGAATTCAGTTTTTTTACCTGTCATTTAAACAAAAAACATTAATGCCTACAAAAAGAATTCAAAAGAATAAAAATACTACAAGCATGAAGATATTTACTGCAGTGTCAAATATAAGAGTAAAAAACTATAAATTAGCTGGGTGTGGTGGTGTGCATCTGTAGTTCCAGTTACTCCAAAGGCCAAGGTGGGAGGACTGCTTGAGCCCAGGAGTTTGAGGCCAGCTTAGGCAACAGAGTGAGATCCCTGTCTCAAAACAAAACCAAAACCAAAACCAACTATAAATTATTTCAGTGCCAAACAATAGGGAAGTGATTTAGTAAATCTTGATTCCTCAGCAAGATGGAATACCATACCATTTAACCATTCAAAATGTCAATTATCAAGACTAAAACATTATGGGAAAATATTTATAAGCAAACATCAAATTAATAAAATAAATTATAAAGTTGCCTGTATACAACTATAATGTTGTATTATATTAATATAAAAATAGATAATTATGTAAATTATAAAAATATACATAAATATGGATACAGTGATATTCAAAATAGTAATACTTAATAATCCAAATGGCATAAATAGTGACAAATCAGAATGGACAACTGTCAAAGAGATGAATAGGGTCTTAGAGGCCTTTTCTATATAATACATGCTAATCTTTTTAGGAGTTAGACTGTGGTGAGATCTAGAGAGTTCTGGGAAAATGGCCAATATGGATAAGGCAGTGGAAGGGGGTACTCTCTGAGGGTCTGGGGCAACAACTATATACTAACAAGTAAAGAAAGATTTCAATATTTTAATACCTGGTGAAAATGTACCAGTGTATTCTGGCCTTGAATATGGAAAGATATTAAGGACATACACAAAAATGAAATAATTTTATTAGAGTGGTATGACTTGGGAAAATTTATTTTTTATCATAAATATTTCTTCAATGTTATATAACTTTTACATATTAAAAAAACACAAATACATAAACTATTAGAAGTTGACAACAACCTTATTAGAAGGGAAAAATTCAAGAGACTGATAAAGACAGATGAAAGAATATAAAGTAAATAATGTGCAGAAATGAAAATTTGAATGTTTCACTGAAAATAAAACACATAAACCACTTGTCTTCTAGCTACACAATAAAAGAAAACTTTAAAAAAATGTGTAATCACCATTTCAGACATGTCATCCAGTGTTCGTCCTTTCATTTCATCAACTTCACTCTTCAGTGCAGACACTCTTTCTAGCTCTTCTTGGGTGTAACTATATCCAGATATACCCTTTTTCTCCTCAATAGTTTGCTATAAGTAAAGAATAAAAAGCTCACAAAGTGTGCATCAAAATCTTGCTGGTTTCCATAAGAAGTATATAAATTTCATATACAACAAAAAAGTTGTAAATAAAATAAATTAGTTTAGAAATCTAAAGGACAATCTTCATTGATTTCAATTATTATTTCATTCAATTACACGTCTTTATTTATTTTTTAAATTAATTAATTAATTTTTTTATTTCGGCATATTATAGGGGTACAAATTTTAAGGTTTCAAAAAATGCCTTTCCCCCCTCCCCTACACGTCTTTATGTTATAAAACTATACTAAATTTTACTATGGTATTTTCAGATGCATAAGAAATATTTCTAATTTAAATTTTTTTTCCTGTATTTTCATTTTTAACATTTTCCCCCCCACTGGCCAGGAAACAAACCTGGGCCTCCCACATGAAAGGACCTAAAGAACTAATTATAGACTTTATAATAATGCCAAGTACTTAGTACAGAACCTAAAACACAGGACACACTCAATAAATATTTGGTAAATGAATGAATTCTCAAGTGATCATTGTACTTGCATTTGCACTCATCTAATATTTATTATATACTTAAATGTGCCAAGCACAATTCTAGGCACCAGGTATACAACAGTGAACAAAACAAGGGAAAAAAATCCTTTCCCTCACAGAGCTTAGGTCTAGTGGGAGTAAATAAGCAATATGTAAATAAATAAATTAATTAAATACATGTAGTGTGAGGAGAGAATGGATGGAGTTGGACTCTTAAATCAGAAGGTGGTTAGAGGTGATTCTGAGAAGACAACATCTGAGCAAAGCCCTGAAGGAAGTGAGGGAGTGTTCCATACAGATGCCTAGGGCATCAGCAAGTACAAAACTATTACCTGTCTGGCCTGCTCAAGAAACAGCAGGGAAGCCAGCGCAGCTGAAAATGCAGTGAAAATGAGGTGGGGTGAGGGAGAGATCATATAAGGCTCAGCTGGTTTGCTAGGATAGTCTCAGTGTACATCTATTGTCTTTTGTGCTCTCAAAAGTGTCCTCATTTAGATGATAAATTTTATTTTATTTTATTTTGAGGCAGAGTCTCACTCTGTTGCCTCAGCTAGAGTGCCGTGGCATCAGCCCAGCCCAGCTCATGGCAACTTCAAATTCCTGGACTCAAGTGATCCTTCTGCCTCAGCCTCTCGAGTAGCTGGGACTACAGGCATGTGCCACCATGCCTGGCTAATTTTTTACTATTTTTGGTAGAGGGGGGGGTCTTGCTCTTACTCAGGCTGGTCTCGAACTTCTGAGCTCAAACAATCTGCCTGCCTCGGCCTCCCAGAGTGCTAAGATTACAGGTGTGAGCCACTGCTCCTGGCCTACATTTGCCTTTCTTATCCATTGCTTTAGCCAGCACTATCCAAGGTCTCAGAGTGCCTATTTACTGATGTGGAATCCCACATATCACCTCAGACCAAGGGACCTTCATTTTACCACATACCACACCATTAGGAAAGCTGACAACCTGACAGAATAGTGGAACAGCCTTTTGAAGGTATAGCTAAGGTCCCAGCTTGGAAATAAGGGCCTGTGAAAATGGGCTCTATTCTTTAGGATAGAGTATATAACTTAAACCAATGCCCATTATATGGTGCTGTGTTCCCAACAGAATGCCTGGGTCTTGAAACCATGAGATGAAAGTATAAACGTTACGACTCACCATGATCACCGCTGATCCACTTAGGGAATTATGCTTCCCTTCTAGACAACTTTAGGCTCTGTGGGTGTTTATGTTCTGGTTCACAGAGTGGGCATGCTTCCATCAGAAGACACATTAAGAGGGTCTCTAAATTTAATGTTCTGACTACCATCTGGTCACTTGGGTTCCTCATGCCAAAAGACCAGAAGGCAAAGAGAAGAGTCATATTGGTAGGAAATCATAAGGCTATATAGATGCTTCTATATAATGGGGGCAGAAAAAAATATATTGAGCACTCATATGATCCATTAGGGCATATATTGGTACTCCCATGCCCAGTTTTAGCTATAAATAGGTAAGTATAGCAACCACAGCCTGAAAAGGGTGTGGTTACTAGAGTCTCACATCTCTCAAGGACGAGGAACTGGGTCATCCCACCAGTAAGTCATCTAGACAAGAGGAGGTACTAGCTGAAGGTGGGGGAAATCTAGACTAGATAGCACACGAAGGAGACACTGTCAGTTATATCCTTGGGACAAAATATGGCAGTGAGTTTCAATTTGTCTCAGGTTACTGGTAGCTGGTAAACCAGCATCCTGATGATTTCCCCATGGGTGAAAGAAAAATAAAAGCCAAACCAAAAAAACTCAGAGGAACTGGCATCCACAATGAGAACAACTCTGCTCTTGGACCACTCTGGGTTTAACACATTTCTAACAACCAAGGCACAAACACATAAGGAACAAGCCTGGAGGCAAACTTCTACACAGCACCTTCCCTGGATATTTCTTTCCAAAGCTCCATGGAAGTGGCTGACTAGAGTTCTGCCCAGGCTGGGGGCGGAGGCTCACACCTGTAATCCCAACATTTTGGGAGGCCCAGGGGAGAAGAATGCCTGAGCCCAGAAGTTCAAGATGAACCTGAGCAACATAGTGAGATCTCATCTCTACAAAAATAGAAAACTTAGCTGGGCATGGTGGTGCATACCCTTAGTTCCAGCTACTTGGGAGGCTGAGGCAGAAGGAGCACTTGAGCCCAGGAGTTTGAGGTTGCAGTGGGCTATGATGATGCTATGCTACTGCACTCTAGTAGCCTGGGCAACAGAGCAAAACCTTGCCTCCAAAAAAAAAGAAAAAATTTAATTAAATTAAAAAATTTTAAATAAATAAATAAATAGAAATTTCTGCTCAGCAGGCCATGATAAATAAACATTTTACAGTCACTCTCTTGGTATGATAATTTTACTCATATTAAGTAGCTAACCAAAAGAAAAACCTACTTGGAATTCAACTTCTATTAATAACCACAAAGTAAACACACATAAAAAAGTCAGTGCTTACTGCTACATTAAAAATAAATGAATCAGTTTACATGATATCTCTGTAATTAATCAGAGCAAATTAATAATTTTATGATTTTTCCAGTAAAAACAATGACCTCAGTATAAAGCTGTAACCCATAAACCTCTTGGCATTTGTATTTATAGCAGCCCAAATAATACCGTATTACCAGTTGATGTTGAATATTCTTATGACGTTGCTTAAGAAGTTCTTCAGTCCTCTGCAAGAGACCGAATTCAGCTTTAAATTCAGCTATTATTTGATGCTTCTTTTTGAAAACTGTACTCTTGCTTCGAAGTTTACTGACATAACGTTTGAACTGTAAAAAAACACAATATGTAATCTAATAAGTAGAAAAATAGTAGCTAAATAACATATACCTGTATAACCTCAATGCATCATTCATCTTTATTTCTGGAAAATGTGATAAATTTAAAATAGTTGACACATAAGATGCTTATTATCATAAGCATCTTTGAATAATTGAAGATGCTTTGGTATAACTGACGATGATTAAGATTGGAAGGGCAAGCTTGGCCTTAGATATTCTTTTTTTTAAAATTTATTTCAAAATATTAAGGGGGTACAAATGTTTTAGGTTATGTGGATCATTTTTGTAATGCTTGAGTCCTAGCTATAGGTGTGCCCATCACCCAAATAGTGTTCACAGTACCCATTAGGTTGGTTTAGTCCCCTCTCCTCCCCCCTACACTCTGGTTGCTTTTCACTGAGTTTTACTTCCTCTCTGTGCACATGTGCGCTCATTGGTTAGTTCCAATTTAATAGTGAGTTCACGTGGTGTTTGTTTCTCCATTCTTGAAATACTTCACTTAGGAGAATGATCTCCAGTTCCATCCAAATTGTTGCAAAAGGTATTAATTCGTCTTTTCTTTTAGGCTGAGTAGTATTACATGGTGTACATATACCACATTTTATTAATCCACTCATGAATTGATGGGTACTTGGGTTGATTCCACATCTTTGCAGTTGTGAATTGTGCTGGAATAAACATTCGAGTACACGTGTCTTCTTGATAAAATGACTTTTTTTCCTTTGGTTATATACCCAGTAATGGGATTGCTGGATCAAATGGTAGGTCTACTAATCTTAGTCTTTTTGATGCCCAGTGTTTCTTAAAGCTAATTTAGGGGAGAAGGTTAATAAACAATTTTATAAATAATAAACGTCATGAACATATTACTGAAATTTTAGGAAACAAAAAAGTAAAAATACACTCAAAGCTTCTATCTTGACACAAGCTCTATTACCACGTTAGTATTTTCCCTTCCAAATTTTAAGGCTAATTCTAAGGTCAGTAATCTTAAATTGTAAGGTAGTAAAATGGGGAGTACAGCATTTTTAAAATCTAATTTTTTTTCTTAAAAACTTGATGGATTCCTGAGTATACAAAGAAATTCATTTAAAATATTAAGAGTAAAAATTCTTCACATAAAAATAATATTCCAATTCCTAGTTTAGACTATCCTTCAAAACTTGACTTAACCTTTGAAAGAACTGAAGAACACATTGTTTTATTTATTTATTTTTTTTCGTGGACGAGGTTCTGGGGCCCCAAGAGAGGGGGCCCCAGAAGTCGCCCTACACATTGTTTTAGAGGAAGGAAATGTAAGACATTTTTCTATTCATGATTAAGTTAGTTTTAATGTTAAGGAATCTAGCCCCTACACTGCAAATTTTTAATGGCTGGATTACAGAAACTGTTTCAAAAATTTAAGTCATACCAATGTATCTACATCTCTAGCAACTTCCAAATTTTCCTTTTAAAGAATAAATGTGTAAACTTGACATAACCACAGACTAAGAATCCCTAGAGTAACTATTAAAAGTGTCCTGGGCAAAGTGCCCAAAATGAATTCAACCCTGCTTATTTGCTATCCTCTATAATACTGAAGCAAATTTCCCCCCCCTCTCTATCTTGCTGTGCTCAGAACTATTTTTAAAAGCTAAATGCTATAGATGTTTTTGGTGAAAGAACAAACCTTCAAATTACTCAATGTGCTCTATGCTGATTGGTTATTATTTGATATTCATTGTGCATATTACTTAAAAGGAAGGGGTAGTTAGGGTAAGATTAATCACAGTTCCATACAATTAAGCAATAGGTGGCCACCAAAGCACTAAGGGCTCTACTACCCCAGAATTAATTAGAAAAAGACAACACGTTATTAATGTTTTTCTTCTACTGGAAGTTTCTTCTACATATCCTTTTGCTTTTAGGTTATTTCTGTAATATACAAACAACAAAACAAGATGAACACTTTGAAGCTAAATCTTCTGACACATTTTCCCCCTCCCCCCACCACTTCTCCCCCATTCTGACACATTCTTAATCACTTCCATAGGACGTATTTCCAGAAATGGTCAAAAGAAACAAAGGCATCTGATACATTCTGTCAAACTGCCTTTCAAAAGGCTATTTATAATACTTTCATAACTATCAATTTGATAAACAAGCAAAATAGTATCTTACTTTTTATTTGTATTTTTTATTAGGAAACATCACTTTTTCATCATGTTTACTGTGCATCTATTGGCAATTAAATAAAATGATTTGCCTATCTTTGGCCCGCCTTTTACTGGGGTATTTGTCTTTTTCTTGTGCTAACTTTCTGCTCTTAGGAATCCTTTATATACTCAAAATTACTTTTGTATCTCAAAGAGATCTCAAAGAGATTTTATGTTGACTATATCTGTTAATATTTATTGTATTAGACAATAAAACTGAGGAAGTTTTAAAATACAAGGAAACACAAATGCACATTCCATTAGCTGCCAGAGCAATGGTATGATCACTAATGAAGCCTCTGGTAACCTCTGTTGTACACTCACATGAGAATAAGAGTAAAAACTGCCCTCCCCTTCTCTTCTCTTCCTGGTTCAGAGGGGTCCAGAATGGTGGTTCCAAAGGCAGGCAGTAAGGAGGATCGGGAGCTGCATGGAGGTGCCTGCCAGTAAGGTTTGGGAACTGCATAGAGGAATGGGACAGAGGGGCCAGAAGTCTTCTAATAGATTTTGCAAAACTATCCTTCAAAAGGCTATTTATTATACTTTTATAACCATCAATTTGATAAGCAAGCAAAATAAATAGTATCTTACTTTTGCATCATGCAGAGAGGTCGAGGATGTAGGGTAATGAGGGGGCTTGGGGAGTCAAGCTGAGGTGTGGACCAGTAGGCTGGTGACTGTGGACACAAGGCAGTAGCGGAGTTATGGAAGTGCAGATCAGTGGACTGAATGGCTAAGGATGTGGAATGATGGGGTTGGGGGCTGAGGAACCACATGGAGGCACAGGCTAGCAGGCCTGGCAGTTGAAGACACGGATGGGTGAGGCCGGAGTGGGGAGCCATAGGCACAGAGGGTGAAGATGTGAGTTGGTTGGGCAGGAGCACAGAGTTGGTATGGAGAGGAAGAAACCAGAGTAGTTGATAGATTGGTTAAACTGAGCAAGTAAGCTAATTGAGCAAATAAATAAATACAATATAGAAAAAGGGAGCCAAATTTCTCAATGCCAAAGAAGATATTTTAAAACAAGCAAAGGGGTTAAGCCAGAAAGAATCTTGAGGTATGAGGTACTGGTTAGAACCCATAGTTTTATAATATATGTACACAGATAGATACAGAAATAGTTACAGATCCATATGTGAATGCAAATACATAATACACACACACATACTCACACATATATACACATATGTCTATCCATTTTTATACTGAAGGAACTAGCCAAAATACTAAGAAAAGAAAAATAAATTAAAGATATAAAGATTAGAAAGAAAGAAAATTCTTCTTATTCCCATTTAATACTATAATCTTTATGGAAAAATTAAAAAGAATTTAAAGATAAATTATAATTAAGAGAATTTAGCAAAGTTAACAGCAAAAATCAATTGTATTTCTATATGCACACAATAATTAAAAGATATAATTTTATAATTATATGAAAAAAATATGACCCTAGCCAGGTGTGGTAGAGCATGCCTGTAGTCCCAGCTACTTTGGAGGCTAAGGTGAATGAGATCATTTGAGCCCAGAAGTTGGAGACCAGCCTGGACAACACAGCAAGATCCTATCTCCATAAAAAAAAAAAAAAAAAAGTGAGCCTGAAATAAATCCAACAAAAGATATATAAAACAGAGAAAATTATAAAACTTTCCTAAAAGACCATCTAATAAATGGAGAGCTATTACATTCATGGATTGGACAACTCTATGTCATACAGATGCCCATTCTCCTCAAATTGGTCATAGATTCAATTTTATCAGAATTTATGCAATTCTGATAAAAATTCCAACAGAGTTTTGAGTAGAACTTGTTCAACTGATTCCAAAATTTATATGCAAGGGCAAAAGACAAGAATAGCCAAGCTACTCCCTAAAAAAGAAGAACAAGGTAGGGACAGGGTGGCTGTAACTTAGCAGATATCACAACTTATTATAAAGCTGTATTAGGAGAGCACAGCCATCAGATAAACAAATTGACCAATGGAACAAGATGGCAGGTATCAATCAGCCATATATCCAGGAAACATGATTTTTGATAGAGATGGTGCTACAAATTTGAGGGAAAAGAATGGGACTTTTCAATTGATGGACCCCTTACTTCATAACATATAAAAATCAATTCTAAGTGGATTATAGACTTGTTGAAATGTGAAAGACACAACTAAAACTTTTTTAGAAGCCGGGCGTGGTGGCTCACGCCTGTAATCCTAGCACTCTGGGAGGCGGGGGAAAGATATGTCTTGGAACACCATAAATATAATGGCACATGTGTACTGCATTTAAAAACTCCTCCCTGGAGCAGTGCTACTCAAAGTGTGGCCTGAAGACTAGTTACAGTCCACAAACTGTTGGTTACTGATCTGCAACCATATAAGTTGAGAGAAAGCATTTAAAAACATATTTAGCCAGGCGCGGTGGCTCACACCTGTAATCCTAGCTCTCTGGGAGGCTGAGGCGGTGGATTGCTTGAGGTCAGGAGTTCGAAACCAGCCTGAGCAAGAGCGATACCCTGTCTCTACTATAAATAAAGAAATTAATTGGCCAACTAATATATATAGAAAAAATTAGCCAGGCATGGTGGCGCATGCCTGTAGTCCCAGCTACTTGGGGAGGCTGAGGCAGGAGGATCGCTTGAGCCCAGGAGTTTGAGGTTGCTGTGAGCTAGGCTGATGCCATGGCACTCACTCTAGCCTGGGCAACAAAGCAAGACTCTGTCTCAAAAAAAAATAAAATAAATAAAAATAAAAACATATATAATCATTTGCTAAATCTTAGTATTTTCATTACTTTACAAAAG